CCCAACCCCCTGCCCATCCCCATCCCCGTCCCCATCTCATTCCTATCCCCATCTCATTCCTATCCCTGTCCCCATCCCCATTCCCATCCCTGTACTTGTTCCCATCCCCATCCCCATCCCCATCCCTGTCCCCATCTCATTCCTATCCCTGTCTCCATCCCCATTCCTGTCCCTGTACTTGTTCCCATCCCCATCCCCATCCTCCATCCCCATCCTCATCCTCCATCCCCATCCCCATCCCCGTCCCCATCTCATTCCTATCCCTATCTCCATCCCCATTCCCATCCCTGTACTTGTTCCCATCCCCATCCTCCATCCCCATCCTCATCCTCCATCCCCATCCCCATCCCTCTCCTCATCCCCGTCCCCACCAGCGACACCCAGGGGAGAAGGATCACTCCTGGCTCGCGGTGCCCTGCAAGAGCCCGCCTGGCTCGGACCAGCGAGACGCGGCATGCGTCTGCCTCCTCTCATCTCCAGCTCAAATTAAAACCAAGAATGATGGTGATAATTTCCTAGAAGGATAAACATCCGATTGCCTTTTCTCTCCCATTCCACCAAAAATAAACACACCAGCCACAAGGAATTAAAGGCAGGGAGGAAAGGATGACTATAGTTTGACTGCAGGATGTCAACAAAGCATGACCTTTCATTTACACCGGTCCCTCCGCATTAACCTAACGGGCCAATTACACCCTCAACAGAGGGTAAGTATAGAATAAGAGAAGGAGAAATCCAACTTTAGCAGACTTCCATGACATCTCGAAGTGTCATTTCCTCTGCTGCTAATTTTAGCGCCGATGGCAAGCCGGGCAGTGTGTTTTGTATTTTTTTCCCTGGGTTGTGGTATGTTACCCAGCTTCCTTTTTTTGTTGCTCTCCTTCCCCCCCCGTCCTGCAGCTTCACCCAGCGGCGTGTGCCCGGGGTGAGCCGGGACCCCCCCAACTCCTTCATCCTCCTTCGCACCTCGCAGCCCGTCACCCCGAGCCTTCCCGGTGGGGACGCGAGGCTGGCAGAGCTTTGCAGGACCCATGCCATGCGCCTGCGTGTGGCTGGCGTGATTCAGCCCCTGCGAGGTAAACAGCCGCTTCCTGCTGGAGGGAAAGTCCCGGCCATGTTTAACCCCCCCCAGCACGGAGTGAAAGCCGCTCTCGCTGCCGGGGAGCCAGAGAGGGCAGCCCGCCGGGCGCAGGGAGCGGGAAGGGGATGGCACAGACCTGTTTTCTCTCTTGCATTGGGAGCAGGTTGCTCTGGGACAGTCCCAGGGATGGAGGCAGGGGTGAGATGTGGCACGGGAGCATCAGCATCCCCTCCGAACGATGCCAGACCTCCCTGGGGGATGCCTGCTCTGGCTCTGCTGCATGGCCATGAGCAAGTCACTCCCCGTGCCTCAGTTTCCCCTGCCTGCAAAATGCCTCCTGGGCTTTTGCTCCCCAGGGTTTGCTGAAAGTGCTCCTGGGGGCAGCCCTGGCCATCGGCAGGACAGAATCAGCTTTGTCACAGCAGAGCCGCCAAGGACGCGCTGCAAGGAGGACTTGCAGGAAGGTGAATCCAAGCCTCAGAGAAAACCGAGGCTTAGATGAAAGCCTAATTAAAGAGCTAATTAAAGGGGAGGTCCAGCTAAGTGGCCAGTAGGCAGAGCTCTTCTGATTTATGGCTTTAATTTCGGTTTTGCTTTCCAAGAGAAGCGGGCTGAGGCGGCGAGCGAGGGCAAAGGCAGGGCAGGGCTGGAGTCAGGCCGGGGCAGTGCCCAGTTCCCACGCTGCCTCCCTGTGCGGGGCTGCCGAGGGACCCCCACCGTCCGGGCACCACGGTCTGGCTCCCACCCTGGAGCCCCTGGGCGACACTGGGCCATGCCCAGCATCACCTGCACGAGGGTCTTGCAGGTAAATCCCCCCCCCACCAGCTTCAGGG